ATATTATATCGAAAGATCTGGTAGTAGTAATGGGGCATAATGAACGTGTTATATAATCTAAAGCAGCACCATCAAAGTTCAATGTTTGCCATTGAGAAGCTACCAGGCACTATCATATCATATCACTCTACTCTGCCTGGGTTGGAGATATTATGAAATACGAATGCGAATACGAAATCTTATCTATCAGATGCTCTCTAGGAATAGGGAATGGGGAATAAATATGGGTATGAATCGGATTCGGATACGTGGCTAGCTCGGTCATATGGTGTCCGCTTATCGGGTAAGGGAGCTGGTAATTATTTGGCTATAAATAACAATAAAAACCTGATCATAAAACTGGCAGCAAAGTCTTATCATTCAGCTATGATGATGATCGCTTTTTTCCGCCTTTATTTTTGGTATTTGTAACTCTCTAGTCTCTTCTTTTTTTTCGGGTGAAAGCCAGGTGCAGCCAGCTACTTAGTGGAAAGTTTTGACTTCGGTTTATAGAGGGTATATATTATATATATATATATATATTGTATATATGATGATGATGCGCCTTGAAAACTCCGATTCTAAAGGTTACAAGTTGTGTGGACTCTACCATGTTAATTTCATTCACAAAAGAGACTCAACAGACAATAATCAAGAGACATGCAAACATATAGATATATTATACATAAATGTCGGTCTATACGCCACTGGTGTGTATCGATGTAAACAAGTTTTAGCTTTATTTATTTTTAGTTTTTTTTTTCGTATTTTTTGTTGTCTTTTTTTGTTGTATTATTTTTCGCCTCGGATTATGGGCTGCCGTCTTTGGTGGCTTATGCAATATGGAAGTTGGATTTAATCAATTGTTTTGTTGCGACATTTGAAAACGGCTTTTGTTTTGAATTATTCTTAAGTTAAGAATTTGGTGGAGGAATTAGGAAAAATTAAGGGGTTTAAGTTAAGAAATTAATGTGAAAATAGGAAGAAGTTAGGGAAATATGTTTGGGAATTTTAAGCTTAAATAATAAGTCATTTTATGGCTTAAGTTTATAATTAAATGTAGAAATTTTATGACATTCAAGGGGTTTAAGTTTAGAATTTAAAGTAAAAAAAGAAGATTAATTTAATTTATAATTTAATGTTACAATTAGAAGACATTTAAGGGTTTAAAGTTTAGAATTAAAAGTAAGAAAGAAGAGCAATTAAAGGGATGGTGTTTATATTTAAATGTATTTTAAAAAGAGAAATTAAGGAGATTATATTTTATATATAATTTTAGTAATTATACACTTTTATATTTGGAATTTTAAAGGAAATTCGGCATTATTAATTAAAAAAGTTAATGAAATCCCCATCATTAAACCTAAGACTATTATATCATATCATCCTGAGATCCTTTATAAAATGCTATACACACAAATGTTTATATAGTATTTCTAAGTGCATATAATCTAATAAATTCTAATAATTTTGTCATATATATTTTATATATATAATTTACTGTATTTAAGTACTAATTTAACTACAATGAATTACAAATATTGCTCATCTTTTATCTTAAAAATCTCACACCTTTGACGTGATCTTAATTTTCTAATAACCCGGTTTATTAGCATTAAAAAGAATTATCATAAAAATATTTAAGAAACTAACAGACAGACAGATTAATTGTTAAAGTTGGGCTAATCAGTCTTACCAAGTTCTGGGTAAAATCATCAACAAATGCTTCCAGAGAATTCTATATTCAGAGCACGATTATCAATTGATATCTGTTGATGTTTATTTTAACTACGATTTTTTATCCATTTGCTGCCAAAACACTTTTCTGCGAAATGCAAATCGATTGACTAATGACACCTTGGTCTCTCTCACTCTATTTGTGTTCCAATTCAAAATTGAGTGATTTTCGATTGACAATCGGTTTTTTTTTGGGCGAGGCTGTTATTTTTGCTGTGTGTATGTTGCCAACTTTAATGAAGCGATAATACGATACCAAAGAAAAAGACACAGACGACAGACGCTCCAGTTTGGAGCTTCAGTTGCTGATATTTGCTGCTAATTTGTGAGGCTGAAAATACAGACTACATAGGAGTATTTGGACAGTGTATTAGCATGGGACGGTGGGGGAAATGTAAATATTTGTGGATCTATTTGGCACTGGCCGTGCCAAGGAGGGTATATTTTGCACTTGGGCACACGGTGCGTATGAGTAATAAAGTCAAGAAGCTGTCTTTTGTCGCTGTCATTTATGAAGAAGCAAAGCGAAGCGAACAAATTGCTATGTAAACGATCGCAAAACGATATCAACAAGGGAGATATATACATATATTTATATATATAGAAGCTATATAGTAGACAGACTAAATTATTATCAGCACTTGCAGATGTTTTGCTGTCAACAGCCTTGCCAAAATGAATGTGTATCATATATTAAAGAAATATTTAATATAATAAAATAGCAGAAAAGAAAATTGATCTTTATATATACATATATTGCAATCTATATCTATATGGTTATTCATACCAATAAATTTCAATATTTTTTTGTGTTTTTCTGATCAAGTCAAGTGGTGGAGAGTCTATAATTTATCGCTTTCTCAGCTATATATTCCTGATTGATTAATGGACATGTCTAGTTTGGGACAAGTTAGTCATGAGATCTAGAACAGTTAAGCCCATAATTCGGGCATTCCATTTCATCTATTTTTAATGTCTCGATACCGTCAGTTTTGACTTTAAATTTATTACCAAATGATATGGTTAAGTTCCCGATCAAATGCCTCTGATCATAACAAATTTATTGATTGTCTTTTTCAAGATCTTTTGAAGCCTTATAATTAAGTGATTTTCAGCTATTGAATAGTTAATTTCTTATTTAAAGCAGTCTGTAATAATTGTTGCCTTTTTGTAGCAATTGTTTGCATTAAAATATTTACTAAAAATATGCATAAAAATTCATAGAATTCCCATTGAATATTTTCAGTTATATAATTAGCTAAGTTTATAGTTTAATTGAGCAACACATTTTAATTGGCGGCAAAGCGTTGAAATAATTGCTTCAATATATATATATATTTGGGGTTAGATAATCTGTTGTTAGGCTTAATAATTAATTAAATAAAGCTGTGTTCTAATACCCGTTGTTACCGTTAAAACATTTTCCCCAACTAAGTATTGTGTGACTTTTTTGTGCCATAAATATTTCATAATACAACAAAAAAAAAAACTAGCAGCTTGTATTTCTGATTTGTATCTGAATCTGCGAATGTATCTATCGATTGTATCTGTATGTTTGCCTCTGTTTGCTGACTTTTTGCGGAAGTGCATTGATTTTCCACTCAAGTGGGCACTTGACTTGACGCTGTCGTCATGAATTGATTTTCTCACCTTTATTTACTTAACTTTATTTCTGTTGGTTTTTTTTTTTCAGCTCACTCTGCGCTGGAAAAATGTTAATTAGTTTTTTTTTGTCAGGCTTCCCCTCCCCTCCGCCGGCACTTTTAATTAGAACTTTAGTATTAGTATTTTTTGTTGTGTTTGTTCGTCAGTGGCAGTTGTATATTTCTGCTACGAGTTCTAGGTGATTTGTTATCGTAACATTTATGCAAATTGCAATTGGAAGTGGGCAATTTGTGTGCGGATTTCCGCCTGCAAAACGCATCTTCAACGTGAAAACTCGAAACTCTGGGCATTAGTTAGTGAAAGTTTTCTATGTGTGTTTAGATGTGAGTTGCCTTATTTATAAGGCCCCTTTAGGAGACGCCTCGTCTCGATTGACAAGCTGCGCATGCGCGGCGAGCGCTTAAATAACGCTCGTGTCTCCGCACTGCGCATGCCAAAAAAATCAGATATACATATATTTATATATATCCGACGTACGCCCTGCGAAATCCCAAATCTGAATACTTGAAATGTATCCATCAAATACAGTCACATGGCCATATTTTTTGGACCTGCTGTGGGTGGATGTGTGTGTACTTGTGTTTTTAAGACCACCCACTCGCTGTTTTTTTTAGTGACATAAATAGTGCAAAGTTAAGGTAATAAATAAATATCTGAATAATATTTAACCCAGTTTAAGTGAGTTCTGCTTGATAAGTAATGACTTTATGACTGTAATAAAATGGCATTTAAAGTTAAACATTTACATAATTTATATATTTATTAAGCTATTAAGCTAGACTTGAATATTTTCCATTTCACCCAAATCTCTATATACGTATCATTAACTTTACGGATTAACCCCATATTTGCCGCGCCTACTTAACTTACATTAGAATTACCTAACAAAATTTCCACTTTTCGTATTTTGTTTCGTATTTTTTTACAGTTTTGTTATTTTCTTTGGGGTCCCAAGCTAAGCAGCCGCAAAAGTTTATGCAATTTGTTTATTTATTTGTATTTTTTATTTATTTTTTTTTGCCGTCAGTCGCCAGTTGGTTTCGGTTTTGTAGTTGAAAGTTTGCAAAATGATTCTCATGATTAAGAGGTTTTCTTATTTATTTCACAACTTGAAAGTGTTTAGAAGATTAATTAATGGGTCTTTATGACAGCTGTATTATTGCTGAGAGATCAATACCTTAATTGGTTTAACATTTTGTAATTGCCTTAGGTTAGAGCAATAATAAAACTTGTTAGCACTTTATAAATACATAAAAGTATTATGAAATAATGTGTATTAACACTTTGATTATAGGTGTAGTTTATAGAGATATAAAAAATAATATCGTTTATCAGAATTGTTTAGAGCCTTTCATAAATTTTTAAATATTTCCCAAGACTGTTTTAACTACAGAAACTAAACGTATTTAAGAGTTCTAGGAGATCCTTTATTTCTAAAGCTAAACACTGAATTTTTAATGCATATTTTTTTCCATGATTAAAGATTTTAAAACAATTTCAAAACCCCTTCTACGATCTTCCTAAATATTTTAATATTTTAAAAGGACTAAGAACGTTACCTCGTGTCCCGTTACATATTTTAACGTAATATAGTAATACGTGTAGCCTCTAACACTTACCGTTACGACTCCTATACGTGAGCCTGAGCCACACACGAATCCGTGTTGTATGTGTGAGTGTGCGCCGCTGGATTGTTTGAGCGTCTGTGTGAGAGCGTTATTTTTTTTTTTTTTTTTGTGGGAAAGCCCAAAACAGGATGCGCCGCTTTGCCGCTTAGCGAAAATCCACTTCCGTCTTTTAATGCGTTTCTGCCGTCTCTGTGTTTGTGTGAGCGCGTTTTTTGTTGAATTATGATATTTGTTGTTTGTTTTTTAATTTTTATTTCGACAATTTAATGTAATTGTCTTTTTGGAGAATCAAAAAAAAAAAAGAAGCGAAACAGTTCTTGATTTTCAAATAAAAGCAGGAAGCACGGGTCAAATTCACGGCGGGGGCGAATGATTTACATTTCCGTTGGAAAACAAAAATTTAACGAAAGAGCCGGAAAAAAAATTCAAATAATATTGAAACCAGGATATGTCACCAAAAAACAGTCACATTAATATATATATTGGGACTCCCTTCGTTGCCGTTATTTTCGGTTGGAACTTTTTACGGTTTACTGTTAGGTGGTTTTAGGTTTTTTGCGGATTTTGCAGTTTCTTGGAAAATTGTTATGTTGTTTCGAGTTTTTCAGTTTTTGGAGACGGAAAAAGCACGACCAACTCGAAAACGCACTAAAACGGTATTAAAAGCCGAGACTAAAATTAACTTTGCAAGTAATTTACGATGCGACCCGAGGTCGCCGAAGTCGCTGCCGAAGTGACTGAGCCGAAGCCGAAGTCGCGGCCGAAGCGCTTGCCGAGGAGTTTCCGAGAGCCGAAGTCGCGCGAGAGCAGAGTTCACTTCACTTTGGCTTTACTTGTATTGTTGCTGTTGCTGTTGCTGCTGCGGGGGAGAGTCACAGTTGCAGTTGTGAAGATGCGATACGAGATAATAAAAAAAATCAGCTGCTCGTTATCGCTCTCAGGCCGTGTTTGTTGTTGTTGTTGTTTTGGGGGTTTTAGCGCTTTTTTTGTTTCGTTGGGGGCTGCTGGCGCTGCCTAAACGTTGATCGCTGGCCGTTCGCTTTGGGAATGATGTTGGCTTAAAGCCGACCGCTACGTAATATACGCTCAGATCCTGTTTGCATGCCGTCGGCGTCGCAGTCGCCGTTGGCGCCGGCATCGGCGCTGGCAGCAGAAGAGCGTCGGAAAAGAGAGCGCGCACGGATCACGAGCTTTTTTTTCGGTTGTTTGCTTTTGGCTGTTTCTTCTGGCCAGCTTGGAAGTGCTCGGTGTGTGTGTGTGTGTGTGTGAGCAGCGCAGCAGCGCAGCATCGCACTGTGGGTCCAAATGCGCACAAAATCGAGCAATATTTGCTTGAGAATTCGTAAACTTACACAAATTATTTGGGCAAATATTAAGAATGGAAAGTATTTAAGCAAATTGGGTTTATCTTGTTTTTCTAAAGCAAATAACAATGCATAATAAATAAATGATGTTGATTTAAAATACTACATCAAGATTATAGTTTTTCTTATATTATTATTTTGGCAGGATTACATTTTTTAAACTACCTGAAACTTGGAACTTGTATGATTTTGAAAATGTTTCATTCAAAGGATGATTTAACTGCATTATGTATCTTATGTACATAATTACTTATATATATGTAAATTTGTTATTTTTGGGACTTAAGAGGTTAAATTAATTAATTTAATATTTTAAAATAATATTTTTTTAAAAAGGGGCAAAGCGGGTCCTAAAGACCATTAGTCTGACATGAAGTACCAGTTTTAATTTCCATATTCAAAACAAGGCTTAAAATACACATAATAAATTCTGATTGTTTTCACCAAACAGTGGCTTACTAAGGCAATGGAGTTAATACATTTGGTTCCACTGTACCTCAGTCGGCGGCGCAGCATCGACGGGAAGCTCGCCCCCGCGTCCGATGCGGGTTCGAACGTGTTCGCTTCGGGTTGCGGCTCGATTATCGGTGGGATTCACACGCCAGCCAATCGCTTCAAGCGGCGCTTTTCAACTTTCATTAGAAATTATCGGATGCCGACGCCACGCCCACTTTTGTGGAGTGCTCCTGTGTGTGAGCATGTTTGTGTGTGTGTGTATTGAAAATTGGATTTAACAGCACCGAAATCGCCACTTCCTCCCTCCCCCAATGCCCTTGTCATGCGAATTTTTTTATACATCTTTTTTTTTAGCACATCTTAATTCAATAATTGCCGATAATTGCCGTTAATGGAAGAGATGAGACAACAATTGGCACAACGCCATTGATAAATCGAGGGATATGTGGAATATGGGATAAATGAAATGTAAACGAATATGGAATATTGGAATATGGGAAGCGAAATACATCCGTTTTGAGTGGAATCCGGGATGTAAGCAAAAAAAGGATATGAAAAGTTACACAATAGTTACATTATGTAATACGGGATATGTAACAAGGATAAGTATTTCATATATAATGGAGTTATTAAAAGGATATGAAGGTGGGGAACAAGTAAAAGTGGGGAAAGGAACAACGGATTAGGAACAGGCCATAGGATAATATAATCCTTTTCTCAAATAACGGAATAATTATAAGATTAGGAACATATGGAGTGTGGCAAATGGAATATGGGTTAGGAAACACGGAATCAGAAACAGGATATTTGATAAATAAATCAATTTTTCAGATAGATTAATATTAATAGATTAATTTAAAGATTTAATACATGTGGAATGTGTGAAAAAGAACAGGGAATATGATTAAATGATTAACTTCTCATAGGAAAGTAATGTATAAAACGTGAGAATGGGGATATGAGTTAAGAGGCACAAGATAAGTGACTGGAAATATTGTAAAACCCATTTGAAGAATTGAAGAATCAGAGTAAGAAAGAAACAATCAACTAAAGCTAAAGGTCCTGCGAGATATTGTTTTAGAAAATAATATAAAAAATAGCAATATAACACGCCATATTGAAACAAATGAATCTTCGCCATGTGCCACCCCTGCGGATACGTAATATTGAAACATAAGATGCTGATAATAAAGCTAAAGAAATCAGAGCGTTGCAACTCTCATCACATTTTGTGTGTCACTGCCAGGGGAGTGCGTCAATTGTTTAATGCAAAACAACAAACAAACAGATTGTCAAACAAAACAAAAGCCACCGATATATATCCCATATATAAGTACTTACCTCCCCCATATATGCATGTATATACAATACATACGCCTTATAACCATATCCCATGGTAATTGAGCGACAAAAAAAAAAGTAACAACAACAACAAAAAAAGCCAGACGAGCCATCAAGCAATTTTTTGTTATTGTTGTTGTTTTTATCGTTTCATTTTTAATTTATTAATTATTTATTTGTTTGCTTAAACGAACGACGCTGTCGTTTATTGTTGTCTCAATTTCGGATCGGTTTTCGTTATTCGGCTTTCGGTTTTCGCTTTTCGTCATCTTGCCCTGACGTCACAAGAGCATCATATATATCTTTAGATATATATATGTATGAATAGATATATATATCTTTATGGATAAGCAGATGCGAGAACGACAAAATTTTGCGAATCTCTAAAGCATATCCGCAATATTTTGGCCTTCTTCGTTAGCCAGAATCGGTCTATAGAACGTTTTTGTTTTTGGGTTTTCTGGGGTTTGCCAGTCTAGATACTTACTTATTCGGTTGTGTAAATAAGCCTAAATGAGCTATTCAGGCGATATGAGAGGTTCGTTAAACTCAATTTCAAGGTCGTCTAATAACCCATATTGTGGTATAAAAAGGTTTTAAGTTATCATTAAGTCTAAGTTGGATGGGATAAGTCTTTTCCCTTAAAAGACTGCACTTTTCACTGCGTAATTGAACCTAATGGAATAATACAAAACTGCAGGCCTTCTTTAACTTTGCCGACGTCATCAGGCCAACAAATAATAAACATATCAATCTTGTGGGTGTATAATGTGTGTAAACATATAGTAAAGACAGCCAGGGTTTTGTTGTGGGGGAAATAAGCTGAGAAGAACGATCATTCCCAATGTGCCTCGTTTAATTGTCAATTTATTTATTAGACACATTTCACATAACAATTAAATATCCAAGCCACAATCTGCACTGATCTGCCCCAAGCTGACTCGTTTATGATCGGAACTGAATGGTATATATATAGAGATATATATTGGACTGATTCATTTGGCCTCCTGGAATGCGTCACCCGGATGCATATATGTATATATGTTACTGGAAGATCTCACCAGATCCATAATGGGTTATGCAATTATAGCGTAGACACCACATGATAGCTGTAACTACGTACGCTTGGGGCGCTAATTGGAGGCGCGACACGTGCAAATACCTATAGCCATATACGATACTCTATACTAGATTCTATATGTATTTATACCGAACCTCCACCCATTAATCAAATCTGTATGAAATTGCATAACTCCCCTAATGGCAATGACAAGAAAAACCCGAAAAAAAAATTAAACAGAAATTAAACAAAAGACAAAATCCTCACCAGTCATCTCAAGATACTTAACTCTTCTCAGCCTCTGACTAACGCGAAAGATAAACCCCGCTGCTGGCCAAGATAAGATAGATAGATAGACGAACTTTACCAACTGGAAGTCGGTTTATGGAAGAATTATTTAAATCTGCCGCCCAATGGAATGTATATTTGTCTATTTGGAATGTAAACTAGTTTTGCAGGTCTGGATGAAGATATTTTAATTTGAAATGGAATATAATCTAAGGTTTTAAAATGTGTTATAAAGATCTAAAAAGGGTCGATTGTATGAATTTTAAGTGTATATAGAATTTATTATAATTTCAATTTTCTCACTAAGAGAAAGAGAGAATTAAATATTTATAAATATATTTTATTTTGTAGAAAGAAGCACTAAGACTTGGGGACTACATATTTTAGTGAGAGATATAAAGAAAGTATTATTTTTGTCATATGTCGAAAACTGTAAAAGTTATCATTTGTTTTCTATAAATTGTTTGATTGTTCCTAAGGCAGCTATAGGATATAGTAATCCGATTTTCATAAAACTAAGATCGAAATTCCATATAATAAAAGATGACTTTAAATCAAATTAGTTTAGAATAAGTTGATAACCAAAAAATGTATAATATATATTCTATAAATCGTCCGATTGTTCCTATTTTTGCTATATATATATGTATATATATAGTCCACCGATTCACCATGCTGCAACTTATATACTAGTAAAATTATATAGAAGAATAACTGCATAGTTTCATTCAAATAGCTTAAATTGGTTCAAAAACATAACTCTCGCACACGTGGCATATGATTCCCAACTGGTTCAAACCTCCCCGGAACGAAGTGACTGCTGTCAGCTAAGTTCCAGATACGTGTTGTGTTACAAAAGTTGCAAGTCATTGTTTATCAGTGTTTAAAGTTAGTTACTGGTCATATATACTTACTGATCATAGCTATTTACTGGACATAGATACTTACTGACCATAGTTACTTAGTGTTCAGAAATACTTACTGCTCAGAGTTAATCACTGCTCATAGTTAATCTTTGATCATAGTTACTTGCTGATCATAGTTACTTAGTTCTCAGAGTTACTTACTGGTCATAGTTACTTACGCAGATGTGGCATATGATTCCCAACTGGTTCAAACATCCCCAGAACGAAGTGACTGCTGCCAGCCTAGTCTCAGATATGTGTTGTGTTACAAAAGTTGCAAGTCATTGTTTGCCAGAGTTCAAAGTTAGGAACTGATCATAGTTACTTACTGCTCAGAGTTACTTAAGGTTCAAAGATATCTCCTGGTCAAAGTTAAATACTGATCAAAGATGCTACTGATCATGGTTATTGAATGTTCATAAAGAGTAACTGTTCAAAGATACTTGCTGATCATAGTTACTTTTTCAAGTTAAAAACCTGAAACTCTCTACCAATTACCATTACGTATTATTTTCTTGAAGTGCACTGAGACCTCTGACTAATCCAACCCAAAGATCTTGGTGAGATCTGTGTGAAATCTGCGGGATTTTTCTTGTTTGT